ACAGGGAGAATGCCAGGGTTACAGAGAATTTAAACATCGACTTCTAACCTTGTAGCGATGCAGGAATTTCATTTCGATTCAAATAATAGAAGGGCATATGGAGAATGATAGAGTGCACATATTCACATCAGGTTGATGATAATCTGTCCATATTTGCCATCTTAGTATAGTTCAATTCCCACTTTGCATTCAAAGATATCTCCACGTATGTGTGGGAGACAGCTGAGTGGACTGGAAGCACTGTATTACAAGCTGTGTCACTTCAACTCTGGCACGACTTAACAAAACACTACAGAATTATGAAAAACCCAACCCTTATTAAATGCATTCCTCAGTCGTGAAATTGCTCTGTGGCAATGTCACTGCACTTCCTAATGGATTTCTTTCCCTGCCGTTTGCCTATTCTACTATAAGTTTCGGGAATTTAAACTGACAAAAATAACTATATATGGCTAGTATTTTATTTTTTCTGAGATGGACTACAGGCCTCTTGCACAGTGACTGCTGGGCATGGGCACCAGTGACTCCCACAACCCAAAAAAGAAGAAGCGTGTAAAGATGAGAGATGAATGGCTTGTATTTTAGGTTTGGTTTATGCAAATGGATTTACGCTAAGCTTCTGTGGCAACAAACACTATATTGCATTTGTTATTGAAACAATAATTCAGATTGTTTTGAATAACCAACATTTATTCTGATCAAACTGACAATCTAACCGCTTAGCACATATCAACTGTCATGCATGGTGGTGGAGGGCTGATGAGGTGGGCCTGTTTGGTAGCTATGGAACTAAGACCAAAGTGGGTTAATGCGATCTTAAAACAACTCTAATTACAAAACTTTTACTGCAGTTCACATAAATACTGTATTATAAACCTTTACATCATTGACTTTGCCACATTAAACTGTGGTTTACATAGAAATGTATGGATACTTGCTAGCATAAATGACAGCACTTCTGGCAGCTTATATTTCTGACAAAATAGTGTAATATCAAATAGACAACAGTGTTTCACTACCATTATACAATCAGGGCGCCCTGCCCCGCTTACCGAACTGCACACACACCCCACCCGCCGGCAATGATGTAGTGGCGCGCAATACAGGTACGCTAACTAAAAAGCTAAAGGCAGCGCTTATGCTGCCTCTTCCCTCACTCTGACACTGAAAACTGTCGGTACAAACAGCACACAGCTCAGACGTGTCACCCACCACCACCACCCTTGACAAAAATCATGGATGAGATGAGCGCCCTACCATGGCAAGTTATCGAGAGGAAATAAACACTGGACAGTGATGCAAAGGTTTATAAAAACATTTGCAGGAATTGCTATAAAAATTACGAGATTAGAAATGCATTAATCTGAGAAAAATCTACCTTGGTATTGACTCTGCTAGGAATACAGTTAGGTCACAAGTCTGCTCAGGATTCAACTTTTTTTTATCTCTCCAAACTGAGGCTATTTAAAAGAGCCATGTACAAGAAGTGAGCCAATAAATGTTCATAGCCTTTTCCGCACAACCCCACTGTAAAAGATTGGAACTTTCCCTCTAAGCTTAAATCTGTTTTCCAAA